ATGAAAGGGAAGGGGGATACAATTTAAGGGGTCAGTTAAATTTAAAAATTTATGCTATACGTACAACCAAAAAAAGATTCTGTATTTCGATAAGTGGAGTAAAACTATGGAATAATTTAAGTGTGGACATAAAAAGCAGTAAGAATATTGATGAGTTTAAACACAGATATAAAGGTATGTGTCAATCAAGATATATGCAAGAACAGGCTTAATGATTAATCAGATGGGAGTGTGGATGTAGAATATGTATCCATGTAGTAATACTGCTTGCAAACCAATGATGATAAGATGATGTTAGGGGGTAGGACTAGATAAGTCTAACTTCTTCCTACTCCGTTCAAGCATGTACTAGGTATAAGTAAATTGAAAATATTTTTGTGGACATGTCTGGAATTATGTGTGATTACATACTGACTGTTGTTACATGTTTGAAAGAATAAATAAATCAAATCAAATCAAATCAAAGAGTAGAGGATGTGGGATTAACGGGGGAGGGGCTCACGGCAGCACTCGCTGCACATTGAGGACAGTAACTGTAGAGTGATATATGCTTTCACGTCTCCAATAACACCAGAAAAAGTCACTACATTTGTCGCTAGTCACTTTTGACAAAAAAAGTCACTAAGAGGATTTGGAAAGTCGCCAAGTTGGCATCACTGAGCATGTAGCTTGTGACTATAGCAGTTAGCAGCTAATGTGTCTCAGCTATCTATCTCGTGTGTCTGTTGGCCCACTGGGCTTCATGTATTGCTTTTTGTAGTATACTGCATTTTCTTTTGTGCTTTGTTATCATTGTCACTCAACTGTCAAGTAGTATTTTACACAACCAAGAGCCATTGACAGACACTGAATATCCAGCCACTGCTCCACACAGGTTCCTGGGTGTATTGTGTGCCGCAATGCTCATGTCCTTGTGTCCAGAAGGGTTTAGAATTGGCTTATATGTGGATAACCTTTGTCTGTAATATCAAACAGACATTTGGTTTACTGCAGCAGTTCCCCTGTGTTTCTCAAATAAACACTATCTCTTGCTCAGCTATATGTTTTTCGTTCTAAAATCTACTTTGAAAGACATCCTGCCACCTGACTACATGATGACAGCTGAGTGAAATTTTAAAGCCATGGCTTTTACATGCTGTTTGATGATGAATCATTCCTTTCTTTTCATTTCTATTTTTCCCGTAGTGGTTTAAAATAAGCCAGAGTCAGTTCTGTTCACAGGAGCTCTGTAAGAATTTGCACTGAAAGATTGACACAGTGGATGATGAATGCTACAATAGTGAGGTGAAGGTGGCCAAGAATGAGAAAAAGATCTTGTCTTTGTAATGGAAATGAACAGAAGTTTAACTCAGTGTCAGAATTTTTATGCAAGCTAACCACACTTGTACTTTACCTGAGATAACCTCCAGCATTTTGAAGATCAAATGCTACACTCCTATCTTAATCCTCCTTCCAAGATAAAACTATTTATGCTTCTAACCAGACCAAAGTGGAATTATGATCTTGTATGCAGTACCTGAACTCATAGGAAAATGCAGGGATTGGTATGAAAAGCCATGCATCATACCAGATTGTACTGTGCAGACTTTGTGATCTCTTGTAATCCACAAAGGATACAGAATAAAAGACATTCCATATTCATTCAGCAGTACTGTATGCCTGCACCGTATCCACACCAGATTTGAAGACTGCAAAGAGAAACTGCAAAAATAGAAAAACACCCTGCCTATAGTTGATTTTCTGTTACTGACCCCCAGATCCAGTTAGTGATTTTAGATGTTGGAACAGGAGATTCATAAGAGGCAGAGCATGCAGTGATTGAAGAAGTCTAGAGACCAAATCGAAATACCATGAAGAAAGAGGAAGGAATGAAGGCTGCAGGCGGGGGCTTAGTCTACTTTGTTTTCTCATAAAGGCATATTTTTTCTTGTTTTTCAGGGAGAGATTTGTTTTGTTTTTAACATGGGTCAATCTACTTTATGCTCTGCAACTGCTGGTGGCAGTATAGGCCAAAATGATGACACTATAACTGCTGAGAGATCTGACTCATACTTACATTTTCACTTTATCATAATCTCCACCAGGGGCTGTCCAAGCATCAAACTCCATTCATGCATTCATCTTTTACTGATACATGAAAAAGGGTTGCAGGAGCTTGAGGAAATGGCAGTACAATGGTAAGAATCACACTTCCATCTACTGGGTAATTAGAGTTGCCTCACAGACACTGTACAGAATACAGTAAGAGTAAATTCAGTGTTTGATTACTGAACAATATACAGTGTGTTATTATTGCATGTTGCAGATTTATATGTCCATGTGTTGAATCTATGTACAGTTTCTATAAAATGCTGTACATACATACGTGTCACCTTTCTTTTTTATGCTGAACAGATAGTCTTCTCATGATTGGACACAGATGGGTTTCTGTAGTAATATCAGACATCCCACATAATGTTACAATGCATTTACCCCAGCTTGGGTTCCTAAGCAGAAATTATTTCAGATCTTTAGTCTACTGCTGTCTTATCTGTGTCAGTGCAGCTTAGATGGAAACAAGCAAGATGTTAGCCATAAGGGCCCTCATTTTACCACAAATTACCAATATCAGTGTACAGTCATGGTAGTGAGAGTCATCCACATGCAGATATTTATCTTTTTATGTCCTCTGTTGTGGTGGTAAGATTCAGAGGAACCTTGTGAAGGTGTCATGGGAGTAATTCAGTTCTGTGATGGTAAGTGCCCACTCAATAACCTCCCTGACATCCATTCTCTCTAACTCACCATCCTTCTTTATAGTGTTTAAAAGCCACAGACTTTTTCATTTGAGTAACTTTCATTAGATCAAATAAGAAGATGGATCTGTTCCACTTGGATAACAGTAACAATCACTGTATTTAAAAAAATACAAATACATCCATCCATTATCTATACCACTTATCTTGAATAGGGTTGCAGGGAGGCTGGGGCCTATCCCAGCTGCCATTGGGTGAGAGGCAGGGTACACCCTAGACAGGTTGCCAGTCTATCACAGGGCTGACATGTAGACAAACAACCACTCATGGTCACACTCACTCCTACGGGCAATTTAGAGTCACCAATAAACCTAAGCTGCATGCATTTGGACTGTGAGCGGAAGCCGGAGTTTAGACACATCATGTGTCTAAATTTGTCACTGATGATCAGTGTTGCATTCTGGAGCCATTGGGTGTTTTGGATCTTACAAAGAGACATATTTGTCCAGGCAAACCAATCAAGGTTGATAAAGCCCTTGCTGCTTCCACGTTATTGTTGATGGCTCTCTTCCTTTATAAACCTGTGATGCCCAGGGTTCCAAGTCTTTTTGCCACCCTCCTCGGGCAAAAATGTCCATTTTTGTCAATTTATTTTTTGATTTGGCGATCATTCTGGCTGTGTTACAGCTTGTGGCATGAAATTTGGCAGGAAAGTTTCTTTTTGGTAATATTTTTTTAAATCCAGTGTCATTTATTCTTAAATGTAATTTATACTCTTTTTATGCATTTTGTACCCTCCTGACACCCTTGTGGTCAAAAAATGCCTCACTGACTTGTTATATCCCAGTTCTTTTATTGGACAGATCCGAGAAAGGAAGGAGTCCATCTTTCTTGATTTTAGTGCTGGTTTATTTAAAAAAAATATATAAATAAAGATTACAGAACACAATCCGGGTTGTTCCTTCCTCCAGACAAGCTGCTGGAGAAGAGAGAAAAAGATCCCGGAAACACAGAGCCTAAAACATTTACAAGTTTTGGGCTAACCCCTTACACAGATGAAGTCTGTCCAGCAAATCAAATCAAATCAGACTCCATCTCTTATCTAGAGCTCCACAGGCTTGGAGCAGCTGCGTGTTACCTAGTCATAACAAAATGAGGTAGCTCAACATGTGTGTGGATGTTGTTACGTGGTGCATAACTAAAACAATCATTCAGACATAAATCTAACACAAGATTAATACAAGAAAACAATTGGTGTCATGGCTTACTGCTAACCTTGAAGCAGAGCAGAATAGAGCAGACTTTGAATCTTACTGAATTGCATTACTAACACAAAGTCTAAGACAATGTCTAATAATTATGTTTAATTTATTAATTTCTAACAGACTTCCACTGAAACCACATTTTTTAATCTCACTGCCATTACAGTATAAAACCATGCATTCACAAAAACTGTTTACATGTTAACTAGTAATTTTGTATTCTACAGAGCAGCCTACGCTTCTTTTCAGTGAAAAGGTGTAAATGAATTTCATTTACAGTTATAGAATTTATAAAAGTAGTAGTGTTTTTTTTGTTTGTTTCTTTTTTTAAGTTGCCACCAAATTACTGTTATCATAAAACATTTTTACTGTTATCATAAAACATTTTACTGTTTACCTGCATGTGTACATCAAGTCCTCCCCTTTGTTTGAGATTAGCATTTCATTTCATGGCTTCTGACAAATGATTTTCTTTCAGAGACCCACTGAGGGATAACCAAAAGGGCAGTTTAGCCATAAGGAGTGTTGCACGAGTTCTTCTCTGAGTTAATATATGTCTTTATTTTTGGACTCGAACCCGATTCGTAAATGCAGTATGAGGCGCAGACTGAGGCCCTGCGGACGACTCAGTCAAGAGTAGATGTGCGATTATGTTTTAAAGGGAGGGGCTTGAAAGGGTATGCAGTTTGGTCTTATCATTGAATGTAGTGGAGGACCGACTGCAGACTGGTTTCTCTCCTCTCACTCGATTCAAGTGCTCTACTTTGTCCCGTTAGATCCACAGGTAAGCGCAAAAACTTTGGACTGCTTGTATACTCAACTTTTAGCATTTCATAGACGAAGAAGAATGTTCACAACGCAGTGAGTAAACAAAAGCCAATGCGTATTAGACGGTGGAAGATTATCACATTATGAGTCTTCACTTTTCGCATGAACCGCTACTGATACTTTTCCGGATATCATAGCTATTACCCGCTTCCTCTTGTGTGCGTTTAAAATTACTAAAGGAAAAGTAAAGTCACGCTTCCGAGCTTTAACAAACTTCTGTGGCTCGCGCAATGCCGCCCTCATGCAAATGTTTCGCTAACCGCGGGTCTACACAAAGAAAAGCATGTCCGTTCCTGCAATGGGCACATACTCCGTCAAATTCCCAGGAACAAAGTATGACAGTCAGCCGTCACAGCAGCCAACATGGCACCAACTGTGGCCTAACTGTTTAGAATTGATTTTTTGACTGTTAATAATTTTCTCTTCCAATAGCATCTTCCAAAACTCTCAAGGAAAGCTGTGTTCTTGACCCATAATTGCATAATGTGGATAAACCTTTTGAAATCTGACATGTGGAAAGTCTACAAAGTTGCTTATAGGCAAGGATGTGTCCCATGTAATTACCACCACGCACCACATGTCCCTCATAGATCATATTTAACCATAAAATCATGCAGAAGGCAGTTGTCCTTTGGTGTCTGAACCTCAGACACATCCAGAATCCCCTGCAGACAAAGCCATTGGGCGGTCTTTCAAAAAGGTAGGCCTTCTCACTTCACAGATTAATTTAACATATCATTTCAAGGTATTTCATTCGGATTTCATTCTTTGAAATCCCACCACCCCTGAGGCAAAAGGCTTTGGTGAACTTGCATTGTACTCAAGTTGGACAGCATGTCCATGTCTCAGCTTTATTTACATAGAAGTATCAGTGGAAGTGGAAGCATGGAAAATAGAAGAGGTTTGGAGGGTAGATCCTTAGGATCCTTTCTTTTCTGAATGCTTTTGAGGCAGAGACAGCATCATAATTGTCCACGAAACTATCTAATAAGTTTGCAGTGTTTGGACAACATGTGGAGAATGCCCTCCACTCCTTATAAGGTGCAAACCCAATCTGGTGAGATGATTGGAATAGCCCCTGGAATGCAATGCATACAGTCCTCTAGTGCAGTGCTTGCTCATGTCTGTCTGATGTATGACATCATCAGACAGCCATTTAGTTTTAGTTAACAATTTCAACCATTATCTATTACTTATAGTTTTTTTTACCTTGTTATACATGACTTTTAGCTAATTATATCAACAATTTATTCATTACCTTTAAGCTATTTTAGCTGTATGCATTAGTTTTAAGCTAAAAATCAACTATTTATTCATTATGTTCAATCATAGCCATTTCTATTTTAGCTGTCTATTTAAACAGTTTATCCATTACATTTATCTAAATGTTTAAACATTTTCTGCTCACTTGCTGTATAGTTTTCATACATTCTGAATCATAAACGGTTGTGTTCAGGTGTTACAACTGATTCAATATGTGGATGTATATTTTAAATCCAAACATACTGCAACTTATTTTGGTCAAATTATGGAGCTGCTCTATCTTTATAAGTACAAGTTGGTTTTTGTTTCAGTTTCTGCATGCATGTCCAGCCATACACTCTCACACAGCTATTTCTAGACTGTAGTGCACTTATAAAGGGATTTTATAATTGACACAATATAATATGGGTGCAGAGGAATCTGGAGGTAATTGCACAGAGTGATAACAGGGCTTTGGCAGTGTGGAACGAGAGCCAGGGTCAGGATTAGGGCTGGGTGGACAGGATGTAGGGAACACTGCCATGCATTTCCTCTGGACTGCACAGTGCTGTGAAGGCTTCTAGTTACTGTACTCTGACTCGTCTCCTTCTCCACCCCTTCTCTCCCTTTCGCTCATGCACTCAGTTAAAATTAAATGTCACTTCAGGTGATTGTTGTGCCTTATTCGCATTATAATCAACATCTGCTAAATTATGGTGCATTCATGAATCTGTCCATATACAGTTATATGTTTACATGCATGCAATATACTGTATATGCATGCTTTGTTATAGTGTGGTGATCCTAGATACTCAATCTATCATAGCATTGAGTTCCAAAGCAAGAATCCAGAGTTTCCTTGGAAGGCAATAGTTTCTAACCACCGCTGAGCACAGTCAGCCAAGTGGCAGGCTGAATTTGAATAGAATGGAAAACTGGCAGAGACAATTTTCTAACACAGATGATCAGACAATTCTGTTCATTTTTTTAAATAAATGTTTACCTATACAATGTTTTCCAAATGTGGTCCAGTTCCCAGTGATCACATGATATGTCAGTTCAAATATGCATTGTCTCTGCACAGCAGGTGCCAGGGCTATTTTTATTTTTCCTCATAACAGACCAGTGGAATGATGTCAAGTATGTTTCCTAAGCTTTAGACCTTTTGCCTCTTGGCTTAATGTTATGCAGTTCTTTTGTTTCTTGTGTTCTAAGAACATGATTTAGGATAGAGATGCAGCCCCACCATGCCTGCAGAACCACAGTCAAAATACCTACCACTTGCTTGGAATAAAGTCAGTTTAGGTTTTAGGTTTGTATCTTCTGGACAACAACATGAGTAGGACAGGGTTCAGCTCATCTGAATTTACTGTGATTGACATGCAGCTAACGCTCAGGGGACTTTGACTCTGGACTCAAGCACTACAGCGTTCTCGCTCTGTTCCCCCTTGCTTTTGAATTCACTAACATGTAATTTGAATGCGCTGCATAAAGAACCGCACACTAAGTTGTATAATATTGTGAGCATGGACAGAGTGGCAGATCTTGGGTTGGAAAAGAATTCTTAAGTCTTTCACAATGGAACAACAGTCAAGAAGTGGTAGGTAGGCAAGAACTGCTAGTGCTGCTTAATTGCTTAAAAAGTCACATGAGGGCATGAAATCTTAGATCATGTTTATTTAGATCCTGCAAAATATGCATTATGAGTTTTGCAGATGTGTGATATATAAACTTGAAATTCTTATTTGCCATTTTAAAAGGAAAAACCTCATACTCCTTATTATAGAGCCAAACTGACATGGAACAGTTTTGTGTGGGAACATCCATGCTGCTTTTGGATGTTCAGGCATTTGTTCACTGCACAATTAGAGTCTGGTTGTCTCTTGGGTCATGGAAGATTGCATGCTTTCTCTGAGTTCCTCTCTTGCAGTCCACCCATACCCTGCTCTATAATAGATTCACCACCAAATTCACCAAATGAAGTCACTTATTTAATCAAACCACATAGCTATCAAGCAACAGTTTCAAATGAAATGCATAAAAATTTCACAATGATCCCTCCTCCGAGGATCTGTATTTTTCATTTTGTTATGTTCTCTAACTTTGATTCTCCTGACTGTGGCAGTCATGTGGGCATCAAAGACCTCTCTTTGAATTCCTGTGGGCTTCAGTTACACTCTGATGAAGAGGGTTTGTTAGATCAGCCTCTCACTCATGTCATTTTCTGATTTTCAAGTGCTATCACTCAAGGCCAGATTGCCTAATAGGCTTTTTATAGATTTTAAGGCTTGAAGGTTATGACATAAGGCAGCCTTGCTTTATATCTTAAAAGGTAAAACCTCCTCTCTTAACTCACGTGGTCTACATTTCATCTTTTCTTTTTTGTGGATGACTGATTGTGCGAGAGTGAGGTCAGTGCTCCTAAGCTGTGCTTCTTATGTCATCTTACAAAGATGCATGTTCTCCTTTCGTTCCCCAAAGAGGGTTATTTGGAGAAGTGTACAACACTGTTGAGAGGGACATTTAGCCTTTGCGCTTCTTCTCATCTGATAAAACAAGCACAGGAAATGTCTCTGTTAGCCGATTGGCCTTGTGTCCTCCCACTGGGACCTCAAGATGTGCACAGTGTATCCCTATGGTAGAGAAACCACCATACTTGTCTCTCTCCTAACAACTACACAAAGTTTCCCTTTGCCTCTGTCTTTTTGTAAGGCACCAGTCTTTTCTACTTCAACTCTTTTCTCCCAGAAAGCAGTGATTACAGTAATATTCATTCTCATTTCAACCTACTTCTTCTCTTCCCCGGCTTTCCATTCTTCCCCCTCTGTCCTCTCTTCACCTCCCTTTTCCTCCTCCTTCCCTCTCCTCTCAGCTTCTAGTTTTCCTCCAGTGGAGTCCCAAAACTAAGCAAACAAATTTGCTAATCAAGAGCCTGTCAAATCACCTTTTAAAAGTCCCATATTTTAAGATAATGGGGAATTAAGGGAAGATAGAGGTAATAAGGTGATGTAAATCCCGGTGGCGAGTGTGAAAAATACCACTGAGCAGTGAGGTCATGTGTTTACACAGCTAGCAAGGTTAACTGCTCTGTGACTTGCACCAGGGAAAACAAACAGGCCATTGTGTGGGTCACTTATAGGCCTGTTGAATTTACGTATGCTTGTGGCTACAGAGGTGCACTGTGTGTTGAAGTGTGTATGGTGAATGTGAAAGAGAGTCCATGTTGGACGCTAGCCATCGGTGGGAGTGAGAACTGCCAAATGTGAGATCAGGCTTGTATGTGCTAATGATGGAAGTGAGAACTTGCCTCATATACATAAATCTATCACTCTCCTTACATGGGTATTCACATGAGTCAAATGTCTCCTGTAATTCTTTTGGAAGAGTTTCGGAGTTGAGACTAGCTTTTTATTCTAACCAAGTTCTCAGTATAGGAACATTTATTTTACAGTAATTCTTTGTAAAATGTAACGACAATATAATCTCGTCAGGTGATCTTACAACATACTAAAATATTTGGGCTGCTACTAGTGGTTGTTTTGATAATCAAATCTGCTGATTATTTTCTTTATTAATCACTAGACTGTTGAATCTATGCAACTTTCAGAGAGTCAGATGTTATGTCTTCAAGTTGTTGTGTTTTTGCACTTTTCTCTGACCCACTGTCCAAACCCAAGGATACTCAGTTGACAATAGTATAAAACAGTGAAATAA